TTTCTTTTCTAAATCAAACAGTGAATTAGAAACTATAAACACAGAACCATCTGGGATAATCACTCCTTGTTTTATGATGATTCCAATCAATACTTTGATTACACTTAGGATAGGATACCTCACAGTATATTTATTACCTGATATTATAAACTGTCTCAAGGTAGGGAGGGCTATCCCAGGCACCCTGCAGATGACACGAAGCCTGCTAGTATCCTAAGCAACCAGCCAGGAATTGATCTGAAGGCATAGGACATAACGGGCTCCCTGGACTCCTACCTTCTCGGACTAGGTCTTCTGCAGTGTTAACTCCATGCTCTATGAGCTTCTGGCAGTCATCTAGTGGTTTAATAGTCTCTTGTTCAATGGTGTCCACCTCTTGCAAAAGGGTCACCAATCGCTCATCCAACAGCTTCCCAAGGGTTCCTTTTAAATCACTAAAATGTTGTTTGAGGACATCTCTTGTCTGTGATGCACTCTCTTTTATCTAAAAAGAACATAAGAACTCCAATTCAGAATCTCTAGAAAAAGTTAAATCATAGGCATCATTCATAATTATCTAAGGGCAACACACAACTACCATTTTCAACTTCTTCAGAAAAGTTGTGTGTGGTGCTGGGATTAAACCTAGATCCTCATGCATGCTAGGCAAGTATTCTACCACTGAGGTATACATCCCCAGCCCTTTTGTTTGCTATCGAGACAGGGTCTTATTATGTAGCCTATGCTGACCTCAAACTTAACAATCCTCCTACCTCCCAAGTACTAGGATTATAGGGGAGCATCATCAGCCTAGTTCACATTTTTTAAAATGGGGTTGTGGGGTGTGGTAGCACACTCCTTTACTGCTAGCACTAGGGAGATAGAGGCAGGTGGATCTCTGTGAGATTGAGGCTAGCCTGGTCTACATAGCAAGTTTTAGGCTAGCTGGGACTATAGCAAGACCCTGCCTGAAAAACAAACAAAAAACAAAATGGGATGGGGGGTAAGACAGGGGCTGCCATATAGCTCAGGCTGGCCTGGAGCTTGCTACATAGACCAGAATGGCTTCAAACCCATGATCCTCTGGCCTCAGCTTATTAGAAAATCTTATTATAGCCAAGCATGGTGGAACATGTCTGCTCCCTGCACTGGGAGCCTCATCTTATATAGTAAGATCCTGTCAAGGAACAGTTCATTGAAATTATTTATACTTAAGGTATATACTATGCTTTGATACGCTATCACATTCACAGTCAATTGATATTTTATGTTTTTTGTTTTATTTTTTTATATTTTATCCATTATTTTTATTTTATGTGTATGAGTGTATTGCCTATATGTAGGTAAGTGCACCCGTGTCATGCAATGCCTGCGGAAGACAGAAGAGGCTGTCAGATCCCCTGGGACTGGAGTTACGGACATGCCATGTGGGTGCTGGGATTTGAACCCAGGTCTTCTGCAAGAACAGTCAATGTTCTTAACCTCTGAACCATCTCTCCAGCCCCGTCAACTGATATTTTAGCTAAGCTAAATATATCTATCTCTTAACATGGTTACTTTGAAACAATTCTTAAATTACTTTTAAAGTTATTTTAATTTTAGAATTATTTATTATCTAGTGAGAGAGAGATTGTGTATGCCTTCGCCACAGACCACAGTGTATGTGTGAAGGTACGAGGGCAACTGTCAGGAGTCTGTTCTCTCCTTCCATCACGTTGACTCCCAGGGATCCAATTCAGGTTTTCAGGTTTGGCAGTAAGCCCCTTTACATGAGCCATCTTGCTGACCCAATGGTTATTTCTTTTAATATGTGGTGAGAACACTTAAGATCTCCCTTAGCAATTTGCAAAACACAACATACTATTACTATTAGTAATCAAAGCCCCTATCCTGTACATTAGATCTCTAGAATTAATCATACATATATAAAACACTGGACCTTTGACCCTCATCTCACTACCCCTCCCTACCTCATTCCTGCTAACACTATTCCTACTCCATGTTTCTATGAATTGGACTTTTTCAGATTCCACATAGGGAGATCATAAAGAATTTTCCTTTCTGTGTTTGACTTATTTTACGTAACCTTCTGGGTGTTGGGATTATAAGCATGTGTCACTACATTCTGCTTTTTTGTTGTTGTTTTTGTTTTTTGACAACTTGCTTTCTTCTACTTTTATTTGTGTATTTGTGTGTGCACATGTGCATGTGGGTGTGCATGTGGGTATGTAGCTCAGACTTCCTAGATCACTGTCCATCTTATTTTGGGGACAGGTCTCTCACTGACGCTGGGGCTCTATGGCTAGACTGGCTGGTCTGTAACCTAAACAAGCAGTCCTTATGAAACTTTTCAGCAGAAGAATTATGCATGCTGCTTGTTATTTCAGACTGTCAGGGTTCCATCAGAGACTGGCTGAACTGACAAAACAAAAAAACTACAGAAAGAATCCCTTGTGGTTTTGATGTTGTTAGAAATGCACAGTATTGGGCTCCAGAACTGCTGAATTTTAACTTTTTTTTTTTAGGCAAGGTCTCATACATATCAAGTTGTCTTCAAACTTGCTTTATAACTGAAGATGACCTTGGGCTTCTGATCCTCCTGCCTCTACCTCCTCAGTACTGGCAGGCATGTGCCACCATGCCCAGCTTTATTCATGCCAGACAAGTACTCTAGCAACTGAGCAATATCCCAGAACCTGTATTTTATTTAACAAGGCTACAATAGATTTACACATATAATACAGGTAGAATAAATAACATTATCGTGCCAGGGCACTGCAGTACATTTCAAACCCCCACCTTTAAGAGGAAGTTTGGCACTTGAGCACTATACCACCAAGGCCCTGCCTCCATCTTTAATGGATATGGCATACACAGGAAGCGCAATGGTTAGGTAAAGTCTATTTCCTCTTTAGAAAGAATTCAAAGCTCCTTCAGCAGTTGCAAGCCTGTGTTATGTTTGTTTTTGTTTCAGAACCTCAGAAAAAAAAAAAAAAAAGGAAGCTCAGAAACATCAAACAGCGAAAGGGCTATAGAAGGAAGAGCCTGCCTCCAAACCCACCTCCTGTGCTCTCTCTGCAAGGTTGATACCTTTTGCTCACAGCATCCCAACCACTGCCATTTCAAACTTGCTTCTCACTTGGATTATTTGTTTTCTCCTAGAAATAGTTCATAATTTAAAGCTCAGCCAATTTTAACCCAAGTATATAACTAATCAAGTTCATTTACTTGGTTTTATGAAACAACTTAAAAAAACAGAGGCTTCACTGTTGAGATAATCTCCTCATATTTGATGTGATACGAGTGATCCAGTGTGTTAACTCTGTACTCTGAATCACCACAGTTCTGAGAGGTGACTCTGAACTGTTTACAATAGAAGAAACACAATTCCAAGAACTCAAACAACTTAGCAGGGCTTCACTGTGCCCTAACATCAGACTCTAGGAGCCAAGCTCTCTCTGCTTAGACATACCACTTTCAAAAGTTCCAGGCATGGGTTGGGGAGATGGCTCAGAGGTTAAGAACACTGGTTGCTCTTGCAGAGGGGCCAGGTTCAATTCCCAGCACCCACATGGCGGCTAACAAACATCTACAACTCCAGTTCCAGGGGAATCTGACAATCTCCTCTGACCTCTGTGGGCACTGCCTGACACAAGAAAAAAGTTTCAGGCATAATGGCACACTTCTGTAATCTAAACACTCAGGAGGCAAGAGGATTGCTCTAAATTCTACTCCAGCTAGTCTACATAATGAGTTCCAGACTAGCCAGTATTATACAGTGAAATACTATCCATGAATAAATAAGTAAATAGTTCCCAGGAAAACCAGTAAATTGTGTATGTCTGAAGACATCTTCCTACTATACCATGCTGTACTTTGAGATGCATTCCAGGTTGACCTTGAACTTGCTACATAGCCCAAGAATGACCTTGAACTTCTGATCTTCCTGCCCTGAGTTCTGGGATTAAAGGTATGAATTTATGTGATGCTGAGGATCCAACCCAAGCTGGACAAGCACTCTTCCAACTGAACTATATCCTCAGTCCCTATACCATGAATGTCTTACCCTCACATAAAGCACTGTGTGGTTAGCAACCATCAGTCACAAAAGTTCCCTAGCCACTTAGGACACACACACACACACACACACAAAAAAAAACCCTCTGGTAGTTTATAACAAAATAGAGTTAAGAAGAATACAAACAGCAGACAAGTCCAAGTCTCAAAGAGGAAACTGTAGTACACACTGTTTATACTGTTTAGTCACATTCTGAAGTAATTATATGCAAAAATCTCCATTGTAACAAATCATTAAAACTTACAAAGTAGCCAGTGAGGTTGAGTCTAACCTTAAAGTGTTTTTAAAGTTTTAACAGCTTATACAATTCTACCCACTCATACTAAAGATAGGGAAAATTTACTTTACAATTCTCAAAAAAACAGGATGGACCTACTTTCCTCCAGAGTATAGCTATTAAAAGGTCATAAAAGGGGCTAGAGAGATGGCTCACTGGTTAAAAGCACTTGCTGCTAGTCTATAGGACCAGACTTCAGTCCCAGCACCCCACTCAGACAGCTCACAACCATCTGTACTCTGGCTCCAGGGGATCCAACACCTTCTTCTGGCCTCCACAGGTACCAGCACACACAGACATATACACATAAACATTAATAAAAATAAATCTTTTTTTTAAAAAGTCACAAAAAGGGTCATCAAGATGGCTTAGTACGTGAAAGGCATTTGCCACAAAGCCTGATGCCTGAGTTTAATCCCTGAGACCCACATAGTAGAAGGAGAGAACCAACACCTGCAGACTGTCCTCTGATGTCTACACATGTGCTGTGGCACGCATGCGTGCACACACACACACACACACACACACACACACACACACACTCTAAATAAATGCAATTTTTTTTTTTTTTGGTCTTTTTTAGCTGCCCTGGAACTCACAGAGATGGGTCTTGGCCTGTCTCTACCTCTAGGGTGCTGGGATTAAAGGCATATGCCACCACACCCAGCCAAAAAAAAATGCAATGTACATTTATTTTATGTAAGTGCACCCCTGTGTACAATACCCAGGATGTCAGAAGAGAGTGTCAGTTTCCACTGCAACTGGAGTTATAGATAGTTGTTAGCTGCTATGTGGGTGCTAACCCAGGTCTCTTAACTGCTGAGTCATCTTTCCAGCCCCATAAATGCACTGTTTTAAAAAGTCATGGGGCTAGAGAGATGGCTCAGTGGTTAAGAACACTGACTCTTCTCACAGAAGACCCAGGTTCAAATCCCAGCACCCACATGGCAGCTAACAACTGTCTGTAACTCCAGTTCCAAGGAATCCGACAGTCTCTTCCGTCCTCCGCAGGCACTGCACGACACGGGTGCAGTTACCTATGTGCAGGCATAAAACTCATACACATAAAATAAAAATAATAAATAAAATATTAGAAAGTCATAAAATATATGTAGAATCTGAATCAGGACACCTTTGAGCTGGGTCCTCC